CCCGCCCCCGGCCTCCTCGGCACGGCCTCTGCCGGCGCCCAGCGGGGCCTCGTGCTCCGAGTCGTCGTCCGTGCTGCTCCCCAAGAGCTTGGCCTCGCGCCGCTTCTTCCTCTTGCGGTTGACGGCGGAGATGAAGGAAATGGCGAGCAGCTCCTTGGCGTACTGGTCCTTGCGGGGCACCCCCGAGCCCTGCGGGAGAGAACAGCCCACGCTGAGCGCCACGGCCCGCACGCCCCTTCCGCCCGCGGCTCCTCCCCGGCCCCAGCGCCCTGCTGCAGCAGTGCCTTCTGGGAAAACTGAGGCCTCCATGCCATCGGCCCGTGGGCATCCTGGGAAAAAGCAAGGCTATTGGGCGGTGCTGCCACAGAGCATTCTGGGAAAAAAAATCTAGCTGGCCATCTCATATTGCTGTAGTGCATTCTGGGGAAAATATCTAGGCCACTGTCCTACAGTGGTGCAGTGCATTCTGGGAAATCTAGGCCGCTGTCCCATAGTGGTGCAGTGCATTGTGGGAAAATCTAGGCTGCTGTCCCATAGTGGTGCAGTGCATTCTGGGAAAAATATCTAGGCCGCTGTCCCACAGTGGTGCAGTGCATTGTGGGAAAATCTAGGCCGCTGTCCTATAGTGGTGCAATGCATTGTGGGAAAATCTAGGCCACTGTCCCACAGTGGTGCAGTGCATTCTGGGGGAAAATAATGGAGGCCGCTGTCCCATTTTGCTGCAGTGCACTCTGGGAAAACAGAAGCTGCTATCCCAGTCCTGTGCCCACCTCTCAGGACACAGGACTCCATGTTCTTTTCCCCTCCTCCGCGTCCCAGCCAGCCAGCGAGGGGCTGGCCAGCAGGCACGGTTACACCCAGGGCTGGCCGGCCCCACGGAGCCACCGGGACAGACACCAGGGAGAGCTGGACCCTCGTGTCCCAGCCCTGATCGCAGGAACGGGCCTTGCTCAGAACCTGAGTTAAGAGCCGCGTCGCGCATGGGGCGACTCGGGGGCTGCTGCCGCGTTAGAATCCTGCCCAGCCGCTGGTCAGGGTCAGACCTCGCTGCGCTAGGCAGAGCTGCCCAGGGACACTGGCCACGGCACTCCTCCCCGCGAAGGATGGGGAGAGGGGAAACTGAGGCAGAAGGCGCAGTGACTCACGGAACAGGCCAGGAACAAAAGTCTTTGCCACTCAGGCCAGTGTCCTACCCACTAGGCCGTTCCACCCCCCTCTGCTCTGCACAGTCACCTTGACGCTTTCTCCTCCCAGCCTTCCCCCCTCGTGCAGGGCTGGCAGAGCCATGAACTCCTCCTCCCCCCCTCCCTTCCTTCCGCTCTCAGGGCCACATGAGGCATTCGCTGCCCCGGGCTTGGACAGCGGCTGGATTTGGGGATCAAACGCTCGCTGTGCCAGAGGCGGGGGCCGAGCAGAGCTGGAGAATTTTCTCCCCCCCAAAAAAAACCCTCATGGAGACCCTCATGGAGTCCTTACCTTCGATTTGGCAGAGCTGCTATTGGTTGAGTCTGCAAGGCAAAAGACAGAGCAGGGATTAGGGTGGGGGGGAGGCCTTTGGGGGGCAGGGGGGCGCGTGGGCATCACAGCAGAGGGACCCTGGCACTGCCAAGCTGTCCCTCAGCTCTAATCAGCGGCGCCATCTCCCCCAGCAACCAGCAGGGGGCGCCATGACAGGAAACGAAGGAGGCCTGGGCGGAGCCACGAGCAGGAGAGAGGTCGGACCAAACGGTTTCGCCTTTTCGACTTCCGGCCGTTTATTCCCATGGCTGAGATTTTTTTTTTCAGCAACATTTGAGGAAACATGGAAGAAAAAAATTCATTTCGCGGCGGAGGGCGGGACAGGATTCTTTTTTCAGATTTATTTTTTTCACCTCCCAGCGAAACGGCTGCAAACGGTCCGGTGCCACCGACACGGGGGGAAAAACGTGTCAGCCACGGCATGTCGACCAGGCCCCTACGCCTCGAGGCAGTGACCGCCCCCTGCCAGGGGGCAGCTTGACAGGTTCTGGGATCCCCCGGAAGGGGCCCACAGCCATCTCCCGGTCCCTCTGCCCGTCTGCCTGCCCCCTGCACCCCCGGCCCCACACTCATGGGGTTAATCACAGCACAAGGGAAAGAACAGCCAAGCCACAGGGTGAAGAAAGGAAAACGAGAAAAAAGAGCCACTCTCACCCACCACAGAGCGGGACGGGCCCCTGCCAACGGGGGCAGTGGATGGGGCCGGAGGGAGACAGCGGAGCAATAGGAGGGAAGGGCTGAGAACACAGGCTGGCTCCCGGGCCTTCCCCCTGGGGAAACTGAGGCGGGTTTGAGGGAGCCCCGTGACACAGGGTGGGTTAGAGCTCTGCACGTCTGCCCTAGTGCAAACCAGTCTCTCGTGACACGGGGGAGCACACGCCGCTGGTGCTGGGGGCTGCCGTGCTCACGGGGCCCCGATCCTGATTGACACGAGGGCCCCTTACCTCCCTGCAGCCCCATAGACCCGTGGCCTGGGAGACACAAGCGCCTCGCACTGGCGCTAAAGCGCAGTTTCC